TTAGAAAATTATTAGAAAATAATTGTGATATTAAAAATAATGTAAGTTTGCAAAGAAATTTGCCAAAAGGTAGGTCACTAACAAATTAAATAATTATAAAAAACTAGTATAAATTTTTTCAGGCGCCAGACCTACCTGGAAAACAAAGCCGGAGAGTTTGGAGTTTTAATCGCAAGGGGGGCTTGTAAATAACAAACAACAACTTTTACTTTTGGTTTGCCATATATTTGAATGAAACTTTTGTATATTTTGAAATTAAAGATAAGTTTATAATCTCTAAAGTCTTAAGAGGTGATTGGAATTTTCGAACTATTAATAAAAATGTTTTACATCACCAAATGAGCTGCTCCTTAATGCATCGTGCTTACATAGCTGCTTCTTAATTATATAGTGTTAAGCTGGCGTGCCCAAGATTGTGATGTATCAAGTGAGTGTGGCGTGGCTCATGCGGTAAAGGTTATGATCAGTACATCAAAATTGAAGTACAAGAAAACTTGTATATAAAAAAAAAAAAAACGCCAACGGCTGAAAAGAAAATCACACCGTTTAAAATTTAGAAAACAAAACAAACGAAAATATATCGGTCGATCCTTTCGAAAACTTACCGTTTTAAAACAATAAACTAAAGCAACATGGGGCAAGGTGGACCCCTAAGTAGGTTTATGTTTCCACCTGCGAAGATAAAAAATTTGAAAATAGGAAAATACTATAAGAAAAATTATAATTCCATGAAGAATAATGCTTACCATTATTAAATATAAGGTATTTTTACTTAAATACCGTTGATGCAACAAGATTAAAATATAACAAAAGAGTCACATCTTTTCGTTATTTAAAAAGGTCGTGAAGTGACAAATGTCAAAACCGACAGTGAAGTTTATATTTTTTTTTTTTTTACGAAACAAATTTTCCTCGGGATTAGGCCCATTCAGCCGAGTTGTATGAAAAATTACATGTGACGTAAATTTTACGTTACAATATGTCAAAAAATTTTAGTTCAATCAAAATGCTATCTATATTTCCCTGCTACAATCTGCATTAAAAAACAATATACAGAAACATAAACCTGCCCCCTAATTGTCTAATTTTAAATCTATTGCAATCGCTTTCAGTTTGAAAGGTGTTGCACAACCATTGCTGCATAATACAAATACTTTTTTTTTAACTGTCTTCAGAAACAAGCAATGGTTGTGCAATACCTTTCAAACTGAAAGCGATTGCAATAGATTTAAAATTAGACAATTAGGGGGCTGTTTCAATGACTTTTAAGGGACAGTTTAAGATGTTCTTAACTTTAGATTCTCAATTCAGAAACCGGTAGTAAGTCTGTTACCGTACATATGCAACTATAATAACAGGTTTTATTTATTCTTTGTTTCTGTCATTTTTTAATCTACGGGAATATTATTGAATATTAAAAGGTAGAACGAATATTTAATGGACCCTAATGGGCAATTTGCTACTACAAGGCATATTTTTACACCCTTTTTCAGTAAGATACTTAAAAGGTAAAGGATTGGAGTTATGTTAGATTAGCAGAGTCCAATCAAGTTTGGTAACAACAGCTTTATATTGTTATATAAAAATATATAATTACTATTAAATAAACAAACCATAAAGATGGCGGTCTTAAACTGTCAAAAGCAATCTGGTTGATATGAATATTCATAAAAGGCATAATTCCAGTTAAATTTTGTTTCAGGAAGAAATGCATAATTTTTGATTAGTTAAATATAAGTATTTATTAAAACTAGTCGTCTAAAAACTTCAAATGTTTCCCAAACAAATATATGTAAAAACATTTTGTTTAACAATTTTAATTAGTAGTCCAACTGGGTTATGGATCCAACTCAAGGGCAGGTTATGACCTCCATGAGCCCTCTGGATCCGCCCTTGATTCCAAGTAACATTAGATTAAAGAAATATTAGACAACATCAAATCCACTACTCAGATCCCAAACTGACCAGCTGAAACTGAAGAACCTCTGATACACTTCAGAGAGTCCAAATTTTTTTATAATTCATGAAACGTGACACTGCCTTCGATGCACAGATAATCTTCATGTATATCATTTAAAAAAAATATATGAGAATGACTTGAAATTTTCTAAATTAGCCCTCTTGTGGTACATTGATTCATATGAGTTATATGTGTTACAACCATGTGTAATGTTATACATCTCATTTTTGATGAATTCGTACATACTATAAATTTGATACTGTTTCGTGAAAAATATATAGATACCTTTCAGAAAGTAAATTGACAACCCTATGTAAGAAGCTAACGACGTCACAAGAGATAGTGAAAGAGAAGAGAAGGGGGTGGGGGAGTACATGCCTATGTTGTGTTCAAACAAGCATTACAAATTGATTACACCATAATTTTGAATCATTTCACATAATCATATTGTTTTATTTACAAACATGGTAAAGACATGACACTTTTTTATGTTGATATGTTTGCTGTATTTATATAATCTGTGTTTACTTACAAATTTGTGTGGTTAATAAATTTCAAAAGTTGTTTATAATAATAATTAACACTTCCTTGTTGATTCTATCTACTTACTATTATTATATATAACACGTAATTTATTTGAATGAAACTAAAATAACCTAAATGTCTCGACAAATATGAAAGATCAAAAACAAAGACAGAAGATTCGGTTTCTTTATAGAATTTAGAAATTAAAATATACTCTACGAATATCTCGAATGCATTACTTTGTCACTGTAATTTACAAGAAAAACACAAAAATTTCATTTCATAATGACAAAATAACAAATGACGTATAACCCGGACGAAAAAATAAGGTAAGCATAGTCATTTCAAGCCAGATAGATTTTAAAATAAGTTTTCTAGAAACACTTGTAAAGAAATGACGCATGCGTTTTCTTCAAGTTTTATTTAATTGACGAGATCATTCCTAGAAAAGTATATATTATATTGTGCGTCGGTATTGGCAAAAACTTAAGGTTTCGACAATTTTGTAAGCGAATCTTATTTGGTAGGGTTATAAAAATATAGAATGATTATGTATTTTCAGTTAACTGTGGAATAATTTAGGGCTACTTACGGCTCGTATATAATAAAACAATAAAAACTGTTCTCAATTATACGATAATCACACAAATTCACTTAGGGTCACCAAAAAAAACGCATTCAAATTTAACTGCAAAAACGCACGCGACAGGGGACTCGCACATGACAATGACATATAGAGAGAGAGAGAGAGAGAGAGAGAGGAGGGGGCAGATACATTTTAAAAGCAAAAGTATCTTTATAATCCATACAGCTTAGTCTGAGATAATATTATTTGGTTACACCAAGTGGGCAACAACAATTTTTTATGCGATTAATTCGAAAAATCCAAATTGTTACTTCAAAAGCTGAATCTCAGCAGATCCGCTACGTGTACATAGGGAGTTACATCCGTAGGTCAGTTTCACTGACTTTAGCCGTAATATATTGAAGTATAAAGTAAATATTTTTGAAAAGTGTAGTCACAGATAATTGGGATATATAAGAAGTATATATGTAAAAAAAAAGTATTATGTAATCAAAAATGAAGTCAAGTCTCCAAATGCCTTGGTCAGGATTGGAGGTCGTGATGTCTAAGCCCTTTTTTAATCTTTTGAAACAAGAACTTAATAAGCTGTTTGCTTTGAAAATGTTTTGAAATCTTGGATGTAGCTGGATGTGTTTTTTTTTATTATTTTCCTGGTTGAGAATTGTGAGCCTAGGATTTTTTCCTGAACATGCATGCTAATGTTACTATTCTAAAAAAAAATTGTATATAGTAGAATTTCCTAATAGTCCTACACTGGGCAAGTATTAAAAAGGTAAATTAATTGCGAGAATAATTATACCGAATTCTTGTGCATGCCTTAAGAATTTCATTTAAAATTTGCTCTATTTATGTTAAAAAAATCATCTGTCACACTTAGCGCTGTGACGGGTTCGATGCTTAGGCAAATATTAAAAGTGGACTGAATAGCTTAAGAATGGATTTATTTGGTGGTATAAATGGTAAAGAAAAGAAACTGTAACAAACAAAAAATGAATATTAAAACAGTTCGTATTTTAAACTAAATATAAAAATTTTGGGTTTCTTAATAAAAACTTGGATCGTCCAAGTTTCAGGATATACTTTTATTATATTATATAATTTTATATAATTTATAATATATATAATTTACATATTTTCAACAGATGATTTTTTACGAATTGACTAAAGTAAAGAGTATATTTGATTAGTCTAAATTTTAAATTACGAAAGGTGATAATAAAAAGAAATTATGTTGAATCAAAGACAAAAAGTTTGCATGTTGAAACCTAGGACAAAATAAACGGTTATGGCACACCGTTACAGCGTTAAGGCGCTGGTTTCTCTAACTTGTCCCCTTATCCTGTATCTCTGAGGACAACCAAATGAAAGAACCCAGAGCCGAACATTTGTCAGCCGTGGACATACGTTGCTCGTTGTTGGCGTCGAAAAGTCGTAGAAACTATAGCACCCTGAGATTAACCGTGTGAGAGCGAGACGGTTAATGGTTATAATAAATATTAAACTTTCGGCAAGAATTATGAAAACAGAGTTGCCAATTTAACATTTTATGCTAAATTTAGTACTACAGTTCGTTAGTTCGGTATTTTGCATATGCTTTTTTACTATAGAGTAATAAATTTTTGTTTTTTTTTATTATTTCAATTCCGAAATGTAAATTAAAATATTGACATTTTATTCAAAAATGTAAATCTTTTTCATATAATCCAAAAACTTAAATGAAGTATTTATCTTTAATTTTGCAGTAAGAACATCTTTTATTCATATGTAAGTAAAAGATAATAATTGAAAATAATGCACATAATCAGGCATAATTTTTGCCATTATATTATACAAATAATGTTGGTGTTACCATTTTGCCTATTTTACTGTAGGTATTCATGTTTGCAACATTTCTTAGTCTTTGAATAGCAGTTTTTCAGTTTCTTTTGTAGTCTCACAGATTTGAGACAATGGCTGCAAAGCTATAAAGCGGCAAATAGTGTTTTATTTTTAATATTTCGCAAAATATGAGACTTTAATCAAAATGGATCGGTTGATTAATTCTAAAGTGGATAAGCATTCCATCTATGAGATTTATAGAGCATGCCGTCTTTGTGGAGCTGGTGCTGGCTACAAAATGCCAATAATTCAGAACGTCATCGATATTGATGGTGAAGAAGTGGATTTGAAGCAGAAAATACGAGAATGTGTTCAAATAGAGGTATTTAAACAAATTTTTGTATATAAATACGTATAATGCAGTCCATTTTGTCACATAATTAACGTCGTTTACAGTTTGCAAGATACAAAACGAAAATAGGTTAGGTTTACTGTTGTCAAACAAAATTCCAATAGAAGTTTTCAAAAAATAAAAATATATTTTTTAGAACGCCTCAAGTTTTAGATAACGATCCCTTATTAAGTATAACGATTTAAATGTATTAAGAAACATTTGTCGTCATATAATAACTAAAAAAGTTCAATTACTAACTAAATAGTAGTATATATATAGTACAGGGTTCGCAATAATCCGATATTTATAATAATACAAAATATCATGCATATGAAAAGCTGCAATTTTTGAGCTGCCTTATTTATTATACGATCTTTTAAAATTGAAAGTGTAAAATAAAAGTTGAGTTTGAGTTATTTAATATTTGTTTATTTATTATGAAATAATTAAAAAGAAGAATGTAAGTGAGTTTTTCCTGTGATGTATAGGGGTAAATCCAATATTTCTAGTAAGTAAGATTGCTACTTCAGGTCAATGTTGCCGGCGTCACATTGGGTTGGTTAATTTTTTAACTGAGATCGAGAAATACTCAATACTTAAACTAACAATATATAATATAAATATCAATTGATATATATCAGTAGATATAAATCCGTTGATATGTATCAGCGAACCCTAAAATGATATGCAGTTTAAAGTATAACATTTTTAGGTTATTTTGTAATTATATACTGCTGAAAAACTGTTTAACGTTTCAATTATTAATATTTTTAGGTTCATCAAGATGATAAAATGCCGCCTTTAATATGTGAGCTATGTGTGGATAAAGTGAATGACTTCTATGTATTTCTGGAAATGTGTCAACAGACTAACAAACGGACTAGGCAACGACTGGGTCTGCCATTACAAACTACACACAAAGGAACGGTAAGATTGTTTGTTCTTTTATTGTTTGAAACATCCTATGTGTTCTTATATTCTCCTTTTCAATTTGGATCTGTCATCATTTCTTTTTGTGCAAAGTTGTCTCTTTTTGTTTCAGTCTGATTCAGGTGATTGCATATTAGGTGTGACCGAGCCGGTCTATGTGAACGAGGACTCCGATGAACCTTTGTCTAGGTCGTCAACAAGGAATGTGAAATTTAAAGGATCTAAAGTGAAAAAGCCAGAAATTAAAGTGAGTATTCAATAGGGAAAGTTATGCAAAGCTCGGTGTAGATGGCAGCACTGGCACATGTAGTAAGCAAACAAACTTTTGAACATTTTGTCATTTGTAAATGAACAATTCCCTTCATTTTTACATCCAAATATGCAGCAATGATGTATTATTCGATGAAAATGAAAAGCACACTTTAAAATTAAAAAAAAAGGATGTTCCTACTATGCTCACTATTACATTACTCTTTGGTTGCTACTCTATGAATGACATTAGATGCTTAATACAGACTGGTTACTAAATGTGCTAATTCTGCAATCTGGCATGTAAAAATTGCATTAATATGTCCTATTAGATTTGTCACCAATATATTGTAAGCAATTCTGATAACAACCAAATATATGGCCAAATATATGGTGGTTTGAGTAGCTCGGTGGCGTAGTGGATAAGCGCCGCGGCCCGCGATCGTAGTCGTTAAGCTACTTTCGCAAGGGCCGGTCACAGGATGGGTGACTAAAAACTATTATCTCGAGCTACTCCGTGCTTCAGAAGGCACGTTAAGCTGTTTGTCCCGGCTGCATTTGCAGTCGTTAATACCCTCCAATCCGCATTGGGCCAGCGTGTAGGATCATGGTCCATCCTCCTTAACCATCCATAAGTAAGGCCTGAGCCCCTGCAGTGGGGACGTAAAAGGGCTGGTGGTGATGATATGGTTAAAATTTACTCATAGAAAGTAATAATGAACTTTTAAGTAAAAAACTGTCCGAGTGCAAGTCAGACCAATAACTAAAAAATCAGATTTATTGTACATTCCCCCTCATCTGTTTTTAGCATTTTTTGTTATAGCAGCAACAGAACTATCATCTGTGAAAATTTCAATTGTCTATTTATCACAGTTCGTGAGATACAGCCTGGCGACAGACATATAGCAGAGTCTAAAAGTTATATCTATAGTTGAAAGAAGTGATGAGGAAGTATTAAAAAAAAAAGAAAGCAATAAAAAAAGCACTTCACTAGATGGCGACTCTAGCAAAAGTTGATTTTTGCAGATAGTCATTTCTGTACCTTTTTGTTAACTAACATATAAAAAAACTGAAATTTGCAAAATTCGAAACTTAGATATCAATACAAATACGAAAATGTACAAATAGAATGTGAGTTGTTTATTGAGTTTTGAAAACTAATTTACTTTTATACATGAAAGAAAACTGGAGGGGTTGTCGTGGAGCAATCAAGAAACATACCGTAGTGACATCTAGTTTGATTTCGGGAACTAATATATTTTTTTAATACTCTCTCATTACTTGATGAAATGTCATAACTTCAGTTAATAGTTTTAACCAATAAACTCGAATTTATATGAAGTAAGATCTATTAATAATTGGAAAGCTTATTACTTGTCTATTGGTTAAAAATATTTGCATAAGTTATGACATATTCAGTCAGTTGCACAAACATCTATTAAGGTTAAATGTCGACTTTAAGCACTAATTGATATTAAATCTGTATGGGCAATGTCGCTTTAAATTACCTAAAGTAATTCAAATTTAAATAGACATTTGTCCAACTGGCGGATTCTCATATAATTATTTGTCTTGTCTATAGATATGGAGGTTAGTAATAGGGTCTTAATTTTAATCTCCTTTAGGACAGCAGACTAAATAATGGTTCCCATTTTTACCTTTTGCTTATAAAACCCCAAGAAACTTATTTTTTAATAAAAAGTATGTTAATGAAAAATGCTTTGAAAAACCACTTTGTCCCTAGTACCCTGAGATGGGATTGGATTGGATGGGATTTTATAAGCATATTTTCCAGTATAGCATTGTGAATACAAAACTATAATTACTATTTAACTTCGTTTTAGGTGGAAAACAGTCGTGATAGTAGAGTCTCGCGTAATTCTAAACACATAGAAAGCACAAAGAGTGGTTCTCAGAAACGAACTCGATCGCCTGAAATAGGCTCCCGGTCTACTAGACAACGCAACAACTCCAATGAAGACAATCTCACGCTAAGCAATCTCAGGGTTAGTATTCTATGATATTACTACTCGTGCGAATTAACATGGCACCAGCAGAGTGACTCCTTAGAAATCCGAACCAGAATTCACGTCATTCCGCGTGCTCTAGTATTATATATAAAAACCTTCCTTTTGAATCACTATGAAAAAAAACCGCTTAAAAATCCGTTGCGTAGTTTTAAAGATTTAAGCATACATACGGATATAGGGACAGAGAAAGGGACTTTGTTTTATACTGTGTAGAGAATTGTTTATTTATTATGAAATAATTAAAAAGTAGTATGCAAGTGAGGATTTCCGGTAACGTATAGGGGTAAATCCGACATTTCTAAGTAAGTGAGATTGCTACTTCGGACTAATGTTGGTTAATTTTTTAGCTGAGACTTAATAATCAATGCTCAAACTAACAATAAATATCAATTGATATATATCTATATGTCGGTGGGTAGTCAGAAGGGCCTATTACGAAGCCCAAATAGATCGTCCATATCGGAGGACTATCTTTAAAATAACACTGCAGGCGTGTATACCAACGTGGATTTGTTCCATTTTATCACTTTTCATACGAAAATATAACGAGATGAGCGTGATGTCGTCGGATGTCTTACTCCTCGGCGATCGGAAACAGAATGTGTGCCAAAATGGCGGCAACTTGCTTTTTGTTAACGAACTGTCAAAGTCATCGATAAAAGTATCGATGATCACGCCCTCTCTACAATCGAGTGATTAAGTAATCGAGTAACTAGCAATTAGAAAAGAAACTAAATCAAACGATCTTCGTAAGGATGATGGAGATATTCTGCGATATATCGCACGTTGAGAATGACAATGTCACTAACCAAAAACGACGTATTTTTTACTTTTGGCAACATTTTTCTTTGTTAAGTATAAACTTTAAAATGCAAAGATCCCTGTGAACGCAGCTTGCATAGAAACTGCTAGGTGGCGTAGTGACGATACGTTGTTTAGAGGGGCCGCTTACAATTTCTTGAACTTTAAACTATATTAATAGGGATGATGACTGGGTAAAAAAAACGCAATTCTATTTAGTCCGTCAGATAATAGAAAAATATTAGATACGTATTTTTTTTTCTTACTTCAATTTAACAAGGAATAGCTTAGATAACAGCCATTAAAGTTGAGGAGAGGGAGGCTCGCTACGTCACAGTTGAGTAGAAAACGTACCATAACGTGACGTCATGAGAAATTTCAACTCAATGTAACGCCGTAATTTTATGATTACGAAAAAAAAAAAATACTTGTTTAATATTTTTTAACACTCTACCTGACGGACAAACAAACAAAAATGAGTCATCATCCCTATTGTGTCACTATCGTTGTCAACGTGCGATATATATCCGTTGATCTTTTTTTTTTGTCAATATGGACTTGTTCCGTTATATACGGAAATTTTGCCAATCAGCGAATCCTGTCATTAACCTAATAATGTGCTGTGACAGGCCATTTTTGTGGATTATCTATGAAAAGTATAAAACAAAATCGCTTGTAGCTGTTTGTCCGCTGAAGTCTTTGAAACTACACAACGTTTTAAAGCTTTTCTTCATATACACAGCGATTCAAGCGGAAGATTTCTTTGTGTTTATTAATACTACATAGTTTTTTTTTTGCAGCATCAGTCTAGAAATAAAAGGTCGCCGACGGGTCTCCCCCCACCACCGAAGTCAATACTGAAGAAGGAGTCAAAGGTATACATTACAATTACGAATTAATAATGAAATGAAAATATTTTTATTCAAGTTAGTCACTTAGGGGTCATCCGTAAATTACGTCACACTTTAGGAGGGGGGACGGACGAACTGTGACATTAAAACAATATTTAGTAGAATTTGTATAGATAAATAGGTGGATGGCCCCTTATGAATCGTTATCCAAAAAATGTTTCCCCTACCACTTGTTCAGGAAGTCTTTTAGCTGACAAGAAGAACAAGCGAAAGAAACTTACCAGCTTTTTATCATAAGTAATGACATTTACATAAATCATGTCATTACCAAAATAATATGTATTATCACAATAATAAATACAACTTTCAAAGTCTGTGGGACATAGGTTGTACATATAATTAGTCGTTATAGAACAAAGCGAAGGCTATTAATGAAAACAGATGGCGTATTCTATTTTCTGAGCCTGAAAACGAAATTTAGTCCGTTTTCGAAATGATAAAGCGACATCAAAGAACGCATTTTTCTATAATTCATAGCTACGGAGGAAGTTAAATTATGTGGTATCGTCTGATTGAAGAGTTTCATAAGTCAAAAACCGTCCCAAGTGCAAGTTGGAAACGCGCACGTTAGATTCCATACCGGAGACGAGCAAAAAATAACTTCTGTTATATGGAAGCACCCTTAAATGTTTATTTAATTCAGGTTTTTAATATTTGTTATTGAAGCAGCAATAGAAATACATCGTCTGTGAAAAATTTAATGGTCCAACTTTCACGGTTCATGGTATACAGCCTGGTGACAGACAGACAGACAGTGAAGTCTTAGTGATAGGCATTTTATGGTACCCTAATAAAATATACTTACAATTAATTTTTAAACAAAAATACTACATAGTTACTGTTTTGTACGTCAGTATTTCCAACTTATTTTATAATAGCCATTTTTTGGTCACCCATCCTATGGCAGGCCTATCCGAAAATTGCTTAACAACCAACCATTAAATATTTATTTTGTACACTTATTTTATTCAGGTAGATGACAGGTTGGGTTTGAGGTCGAAGCGCACTCAAGAATCAATGAAGTCAGCAGTTCCACCGAAGAAAGTAAAGTAAGTAGAAAAGTTTCAAATTTTTTTTTGGGATTTTGAATTTCCGAGTCCTGTGAGCTAATTGTATAATTTCAAAATCTATTGCATTTAATCAACAGATAATCACAGATTATTAGATTACAGAAGGTACCTAATCATAGCCTGATACAAATACCAACTTTCAGTGTGGAGATCAAAATAACAGCTGTTGAATTAAACCATCAACATTTTCTTTCGGATTATTAGTAAAAAAAAAAAAAATTCCTTTAATTTCTCAATGAAAAATGATATGCAAAATACATATCCAGTGGCTTCTACGTGTTTTGACGCTGTTACTTATGTTACTTTTATGAAATACATAAATATTCCTAATATTATATTTGGAAACTCATATTTTTATAAAAACATGGTCAATAAATATTTAAAAAATATTTGTAAAAACTCTATTATATTAACAATGAAATACGACTTCAATCGATATTACTATATTGCGCTAAGTATATTTTGTTTTGAATCCAATGAAAATTTCCATAGGAATATTGCATACCAATAGCCTTATAATTATTTATGAAGCAAAAATATAACACGCTATATATGCAGCAGACTTTTGAGTTAAACTACTAAAAATCATTAAAAATCCACTCAGAAATACTTTAAATAAAGTTTTATCATATTAAACTACAAAAAAGAAAATAAAAGTAAAAAATAAAGTTTAATATAAATCACTATTTCCTGTAAATTTTTTAAGTTGGATTTCAGTAATTTTCATTGTCGCTATGATACATAAAATCGAAATTTGTGAAAAAAGTCGTGTTAGCAATTTTGCGTGAAGGAAATGAAGGTTTTTGACTTGATGTTTTTTTATACCTTCCGTAGCTAAAATGAGATGGATTCTTAAATATAGTCTCTTGTAATTGGCTCACAAACTCGATTAAAAATATTCCAGGCTTATACCGAATTATTTCCGTTTTTCTCTTATTGTATCAGGCTATCAAATGTACTAGCGGCCACGCGGGCGAAGCCACTGGCGGATAGTTAGTTTAATACATGATTTATCTCAGGTTGGCTGTGAAGATGCCTCAGAAGCCGGAGCGTAGGGCTCCGCCCTCCCCCCCAGGCATCAAGTGTAACATATGCAAATATCACTCCAAAACACCACAGGCCAACGCTAACCATATGAGGAGTCATACGGTCACCTTCACCAGTAATAAGTAAGTACAGTGCACGGCAAGAAATTATAATTTATTACGTTGTCTAAAGCGCAGATATAACCATTAAATATATTTTTATCTACACTGACGACAATGACGATTCTATAAATAAGCCTGAGCCCCTGCAGTGGGGACGTAAAAGGGCTGGTGATGATGATGATGATGATGATGATAAACGCATATACATAAAATTAAAAATAAAACTCACTATAGAACCGCCAACTGTATCATAAAACTCATTATAGTACCGCTATCTTTTTTTTTTATTCATTAAACTAGTCTATGGTTTTAGAGTGAATATGAAAAAAATGGCGCACGCATGCGTAGTTTGAACTTAATTTCCCGCGCTTCCCATACATTTTTTCCTTGTAACCTACCTACTTTGTTTAATTTTGATTTTTCCTGAGTGTAGATAAAGTAGTGTATGAAACTGCATATAACTCAGGTATTAAAACACTCGAGTCAACCTATTATATATATAAACAGACTCTCGTGTTTTAATACCCCTTCTTATATGACAGTTGCATAAACTACTATTAAAAAAAAATATCATTCATTTAGGTAATAATTTATTCTTTTAATTTTAAAGGGTTTTAATTCTTTAGAACATTTCAACCCCATCGTACCATACTTATATCTAAATTAAGTTTACTACAATATTTCACTAAGGAATTTTTACAACATTAACTACAGTTTATATTAAATTTATCAGTAATTTATATATTTTGTGCAATGATAGACTTAGGCTCTGTTAAAATATTTTAAATTAATCCAATGTCTAAAAGTTAAAAACTAAAAATACATTTAATTTTCAAATTTTCCCGCGAAAACGCCATTTTGTGTCATGGCGTTCTCTAAAACTATTATAGTTCTATGTATGCGTGTGAATTCTCTGAGTTCTGCAGAGCGATTCTGTAAAAGTCCGAACCCGAATTCGAATTCACTCATGTCTAATTATCGAATCGAATTGGTATTAACGTTTCGTGGCACAAGTGAAGTGAGTTTCGGAATGACATAGGAATAGAATATCTGAGACACGTGTAAATCGATCGCATTCAGAGTCATTGGTGAATTCGAATTCGGGTTCTGATATTAACAGAATCACAGGGCTGATATGAGTAGTGAGCGTCACGTGATAACGAGTTTAAAATATTTGTTTTTTCGGGTTCCCTACGTCGAAAGTCCGTATCATTTGTTGTCCGTCCGTTTGTCTGTCAAGACCTTGTTTCTCAGGAACTTGGGGAGGTATCGAGCTGAAATTTATATCGAATACTCAGGTCTACTGTCCCTTGGAGCTGTGAAAAAATCTGAAGATCCCAAACTATTAAGCCAAAGAAAGTTACAGCCGTTTACGTCATAAATTTCGAAAATCTCAAGGATATCAAAACCTGGTAGCTTGGTGGCGTAGTGGTTAAGCGCCACGGCCCGCAATCGTTGCTGTTAAGCAACTTTCGCATGGGTCGGTTACGGGATAGGTGACCGAAAAATTATTATCTCGAGCTACTTCTTGCTTCGGAAGGCACGTTTAGCCGTTGGTCCTGGCTGCATTTGCAGTCGTTAATACCCTCCAATCCACATTGGTGCCGCGCGTGGAGGGTTATCCTCCTTAACAAGGAAGGCCTGAACCCCTGCAGTGGGTACTTCAGGTAGACTGTACAATGGCAAAATGCAAGTAGTCGAGATTAAACGTTAGCAGTAATGGATTGCTGAATAAATTATGTAAAAAAAAGCTTTCTGTCCGTCTGTAGATTGTCATGTAACTCGTGTCGTGAATGGTTCGCGGATGCTGACGCGGCGGCAGATCATCACAGGCGGCATAAAGCACGCTCCAAAGCTTACATATGCCGCGCATGCAAGAGGCACTATCAGACATACCATCCATATCTCACGTGAGTACTGTATATACAGAAAGAAATCACTATGAGAGTTAACGCGTTCGAATTTGCCAGTAGAGGCGCTAGTGTGGTTTGAGGTCTTCTATTATGTCAAATATCATAACTGTTACACGCTAGGTTTCGGGAGAAAAATTAACGACAATTGTAGTTCAGAATCCTACATTTAATTACCCTATAAAATTACAAAAAAAGGATCTCACACGCACTTCACTCTGGTCACTTCACAACACTTAATAGATCGTTCGGATAGTTCACTTCACTAGTTATCGTTCTAATTGTCTAAAATGTTTTTGGTAAAGAAATATTTTTTTTTTACTTCTTTTTTTTATATAATTGAATATTCAATTCACAAGTCATTGTAAGAATACCTGCGACGGATAGCCCGCCGTGTTTATATAGCGACCGTGGTAGACTTTACCAGCATCTCGACGCTTAAGAACCAAGACCATCTATCTACAAAAAGTCCATTTTAGAAGAGACGAAAAAACGTTTCATATTTTTTTCTACAACAAGTTTTTTATTTTTATATCTGATCATTTAATGGATAGGCACGGGAAATAAGCTGTTTACATGTATTTCAAGAAATCGTCATTAGTTTTAAAATTACTGTAGATAGCTGGTATAAGTTAAAATATTTGCGTATGTTTATGCAGCTAACTGTTATTAGATGGTATTGGCTAACGAAATAATATAGATTGAAGACTTTAATCAAACAAAAAACTCTTACAAGGGGGCATTATATTTAAAAAAATTAAAAAAAGTCTCCCCATGCGGAATCGAACTCACGAACTTTTTTTTTATTTATTTTTTAATTTTAAAAAAAGGTCGTGAGCTTTTTAAATTAAAAAAAATTACAAAAAAAGAATTTCGTGAGTTCGATTCGGCATGGGGAGACTTTTTTAAAATCTTTTTTTTTATATTTAAAAAATATAAAAAAAATTCATCGGAAAAGTTTCCCCATGCGGAATCGAACTCACGACCATGAGATTACTAATCAGAGCTCTTACCGCTACGCCAGCTGCTGGTCAATACCAACTTGTCAATATTTATAGCTTATATGGTGAAAAAGTCGCGAGTTTTTTTTTTTCTAAACGTTTGGCCATCTGGAGTTCCCACTTTGGGTAATTCTATCTCTAACCAAGTCCTACATGTCCTATAAATTTGAGCGAAATCGGTGATGACGAGTAGGGAATGCCCCCTTGTTAGTTATATTCAATTTTCAAACGAGTAATTACACGTTCTCTGTAGATAGGTGGTATTTCCATACAATTATTACCACTTAACTTCAGTAGTATAGGTATTTTCTCATAACTCCTTATTTATTGCGAATTTGAAGTACTCAATTAAAGGAAACGATGTGTAAATTAACCATGAAAAGAACTGCATTAAAAAGTCAAAATCGCCAAAAGTGTACATAGGTCTTGGTTCTTAAGCGTAGATCTAGAATATTCTAGGTTTGCCTCTGCCCTACCGGTGTCATTTAAAAAATATGAGAAATTTATTCCTTCCTTTGTTACAACATGGGTATCAAATTCTTGGTGAGTACATTCTAATACTTTGTAAACAATTATTGGTTACTAAAAGGAATAAATAAAATAATTAAAAAACGACTGCTGCTAAAATCGAACTAAAAATAAAAGTAACAAGTTGTATTATTGCTTGGCTAATCAAGATTCTCATTGCAGCACAATCACCCTTATATTACAAATGCGCCACTGAATTTGCACTTTTATATTTTGTGTCTGATCTGGGTGTTGTGGTACCTTCGTTGACTCAGATGCTCCATAATACGGCTTAACTACTCATCTAGAAATCTGAACAATGTATGTGCGATTTGTATATTTATTTTTCTAACATTTGTTCATCATATCAATACAGAGATCGATAGTATACAGATTAGTGTATTCTATTGGGATTTTTCTAAAGCATATGACAAAGTAGATTTTCATCGTGTACTGCAAAGCGTATCACCTAGTATCACATAGGGAATTCACCATCACTATCACTCCTGCGATGGTTGGAATTACCTTACTAACCGTATCCAATTGGCGTCAGTATATGGATTTGCTTCAGATCCAGTTCAGACTACCTCTGGTATTCCTCAGGGATTAAACCTTGGACCTTTATTGTTTACCTACGCTAGGAATCTTGAAATCTGATCAATGTATTGCCTCTTGTTTGTAGGCATACTCAGTCAGGCGATTGTGTCCCGTGGGAAGAAGTCCCCGATGTCAAATGTGACGAATGCTGGAAATATTTCCCCACTGACAATCTGAGGACACAGCACAAGTGTCCCGGCGTGGACGGACGGCCCGGCGGTGAGTTTATATACTTATATCACACACTGTACATAACGAACTGCAATCAACGAGTTATGTAAACCTGCCAAGCGCGAGTCGGATTTACGCACGAAGGGTTCTGTACAAAAAAACAGGTTTGTTGTATGGGATCCCCCTTAAATATTTTATTTTATTCTGGTTTTTAGTATTCAATACATCATCAGTGACAATTACAACAGACTAACTATCACGGTTATTAAGAAAGAGTCAGCAAAGAATAGGGTTCCCGTTTTACCTTTTTGGGTATGGAACAGTAAAAACAAAATCGCTTACCGCTGTCTGTACGCTGATATCTTTTTTACTACACAACGGTTTCCCATTACAATATACAGAGTGATTTAATAGGATAGTTCATATTATTATCTAAATATATATAACTCAAAGGTGACTGACTGACATAGTGATCTATCAACGCACAGCCCAAACCAATGGACGGATCGGGCTGAAATTTGGCATGCGGGTAGATGTTATGACGTAGGCATCCGCTAAGAAAGGATTTTGATCAATCCTACCCCCAAGGGGATGAAATAGGGGATGAAAGTTTGTATGAAACTTTGTCAATTTTAAACCGATCGAGCTGAGACATTGCATGCATAATGCTACTATGACGTAGGCATCCCCTAAGAAAGGATTTTGAGTAATTCCACCCCTAAGGGGATAAAATAGGGGATGGAACTTTATTTCACGTTATGTTACACGATATAATGAATAGATATTCGTTAGAAATGCTGCTCAAAGTAACTTTACCACGCGGACGAAGTCGAGGGAAAAAGCTAGTTATTTATAATACAAGACAACGCGGGCGTATCCGCTGGCGGAAAGCTATTGTAATAATAAAACAATTTCTACCGAGATATATATAAATATATAATTAATTACATATTTTCATCAAAATTTATTTAAATATGATTATTTGCCAGTATTGTTATTGCGGCCCGCGATCGTTGTTGTTGACAACCCCTGTAATGGTCGCTTGTTAGATTGGTGACCAATTATTTATTATCTCAAGCTTCGGGAGGCGCGTTAAGCCGCTGGTCTTGGCTGTATCGTCGTTAATACCCACCAATCCACATTGGGCCCGCGCGGGGTGGGTCATGATTGAATTGGTTATATTCTATTCGTAGGGAACGACTGAGCCACAGCAATAGGGACATTATAATGAATAATTTTGTTTAATTCAATAAATTGTGAGTAGCTCGGTGGCGTAGTGGATAAGCGCCGCGGCCCGCGATCGTTGTCGTTAAGCAACTTTCGCAAGGGTCGGTCACGGGATGGGTGACCAAAAAATTATTATCTCGAGCTACTCCGTGCTTTGGAAGGCACGTGAAGCCGTTGGTCCAGGCTGCATTTGCAGTCGTTAATACCCTCCAATCCGCATTGGGCCAGCGTGGAGGGTCATGGCCCGTCCTTAACCATCCATAAGGAAGGCCTGAGCCCCTGCAGTGGGGACATAAAAGGGCTGGTGATGATGATGATGATGAATAAATTGTAGTAATATACAGTTTTTGGATAAAAGTGTTTGATTTCTTTTTTCATTAGGAAAGTGCTCGAAGTGCAGTCGTGCCTATGCTTTGTTGAAGAATTTGAAGAAACACGAGAGCATGTGCAGTACGAGAAAGAGAGGTAAGAACAAAGAGTAAACAGCCGCTCTGCTATTTTTTTGTCAATTAGTTTTTGAGCTTGTTCCGTGAATAGGGTTATTTATAATTTTTCAAAAATATTTATAATTGGAATTCTATAAAAAAAAAAAATTTTTTTTTTACGCAATTTTTTTTTATTAAATATGCAACATATTTAAATTTAAACTTCTAATGACGAAGTATTTTAAAAAAACGAAAGCATTAAAAAGTACCTCCACTAGATGGCGACTCTAGCAAAAGTTGATTTATGCAGGAAACGAATGGACCAAAGACAGTCATTACCGTTCCTTTTAACTGACATATTAAAAACAAATTTGAAAAGTTCGAAACTTATATATCAATACAAATACGAAGATGTACAAATAGAATGTGAGTTGTTTATTGAGTTTTGAAAACTTATTTACTTTTAAACTTGAAAGTAAACAGTAAAGGTTGTCATGGAGAAATCAAGAACGTACCGTAGCGACTTTTTCATTAGTTTTCGAGCTTATTCGATGAACAGGGTGAATTACAATTAAAAAAAAAAACTTATTTAACCCTATTCTTTTTTCTTTTTTTTTATAAACATTTTTTATAGTCAAATTATACAAGATAAGATAACAAATTTATCATATTAAATTTTCATTTTCTAATTCGGCGCTCAAGCATTAATGGCTGCGATATTATGACGTCAATCTTTTTTTTACTTATTTTGATAGAATAGCGATTTAATGGGAATATTAATAAATACTTCCTCAGTAATTGTCATGATAATATTTTAATTATCATGATAATTATCCGTAATTACTGGCAACATTTTTTTTTAAGATAGAAAGGCATTTAATTGTTTCAACATTTATTATTTATTTATTTAAGCTTTATTGCACAAATTTAAATAGACTTAAATAGGCGATAGTTTTGTTTGCTGTATTTATTTGGATAGTATGTATATAACGGCGAGTAGTCAGAAGGGGCTATTACGAAGCCCAAATAGATCGTCCATATCGGGGGACTATCTTTAAAATAACACTGCAGGCGTGTATACCAATGTGGATTTGTTCCATTTTATCACTTTTCATAGGAAAATATAACGAGATGAGCGTGATGTCGTCGGATGTCTTTACTCCTCGGCGATCGGAAACAGAATGCCTGCCAAAATGGCGGCAACTTGCTTTTTATTAACGAATTGTCAAAGTCAGTGTCACCATTCTAATAAAATTAAAAATATCGATGATCACGCCCTCTCTACAATCGAGTAATTAAGTAATCGAGTAACTAGCAATTAAAATAAAAGAAACTAAATAAAACGATCTTCGTAAAGATGATGCGACATATATTATATTTTATTATTTGTCTAGTATGTATATGCCTATATAAGTATATGAAGTTATTTTCGTTTAATGTATTTTTATTTATTATATATTGTAATCATAAGATTATTATACACCCCAGTATTTCTAAGATGGTTCATCTCTCCATCCAAACGTTGTCTGGAAGAGATCGCTGTATAGTGATAAGTCCACCGATTGTGCCACATAGCTTAATATATTTTATATTTGGTGTTTACAATAAGTGATATCTATCTATCTAAAAATTACAAAACAAACCAAAAAAAAATTACACTGAAATCATATTGAACAAAGGGGGAAATTGAAATATTTTTTAAATAAAAAATGGGGTTTGAAATTTTTTTTTTTTCATCCTAAACAATTTCTATATCAGAAAAACAAATTTTATAGTTGTTTATAGTATATTCCACTTTAATAAGAAGTCCTATAGTACAAAAAGAGTTTGTGTAGTCTACACTAATATTATAAGACGACCTCTGTAGCCGAGTGGTTCGCACGCCGGTTTCGAGGTGTCGCCATCTCTGAGGTCTCGGGTTCGATTCCCGGTCGGGCAATGTAGAAAATGTACTTTTCTATATTGACTCGGGTCTGGGTGTTGTGGCACCTTCGTTGTCTCAGATACTCCATAATACGAGGGCTTTAGCTACGCGTCTTGGAATCTGAGCAATGTATGTGATGTTGTTGTATATATTTATTTATTTATAAAGAGGAAAACTTTGTTCGTTTGTTTGTTTAATTGTAATGAATAGGCTCAAAAACTACTGGACCGATTTTAAAAATTCTTCCACCATTCAAAAGCTACATTATCCACGAGTAACATAGGCTATATTTTATTTTGAAAAAAAAATAGGGTTCCGTAAGATATTTGGGTGTAAACAATCAACCAGAAAAGTAACTTATTTTGCGTACGCTACCTAAACTATTACAGATAGAACCATAAAATGTTCTAATTAATTGTAGATCTTATAAATATCTACAAAAAAGTCTGTGACACACTATACCTATCTATGTCGAGTGAGGCACAACAACCGTTTTTTTATTTGAAAATCTTGAATTTTTTTTGGACTACATATTTCATCATTAAGTACAGTTTATGTAGATAATATTTGGCATTTGAATAATTAAAACTGGACGTTTGCTTATGAAGTTATGGCGAAATTAAAATATTACGATATCTGCCGCACGGCCCGTTGCGGAGTGGACGAAGTTTAGATTTATGAGTAAGGTACTAGCGGGCAAAGCCGCTGGCGGAAAGCTAGTGTTTTATAATTATCAAAGTATATTTATCAAGATGATTCAAAACAAGATTTCTTGATCTGACACCTTTTTCGTACTTTGTGTTATAGCTATATATATGCATTTATTTATGTATGTGTATCTATGTTTATTATTATATGTATTTTATGTATATTTAGATATAGTTCTTATGCAGAGATATCAATAGCGTATTGTCGCCAATCGCCACTTTAAGTATTGTACTAAATTTACTGGTTGACTGGTAGAGAATGCCTCTTTGGCATTAAGTCCGCCATTTGTCTATTTCACTAGGCAATTAAGATTAAATAAATAATTATCACTCCGAATCCCGCTAGATCATAGCTAAAGTCCGAGAAAACATTAAGCTAGTAAAATATAATGAGACATTTCATTATTTATCCAGGTGAACCGGATATTGATCCAGCGCTGTTGGCCAAATTGAAACCGGTGCGGATACTGACGGTGCGCTGCGATCCGTTGCTGGACAAACAGATCGACGGACATTACCGAGTCGCCGATGTGCCACACGTAATTATTACATTACATTTCTATATGTTCGATTTCGGAAGTTAAGCAACCTCCTCAGTGGTCTGTAATGGGATGGGTGACCGTTTTTTTTTTTATCTCGTGCCGTTAAGCCGTTTGTTCCGTTGCATCAGTTATTAACATCTTACAATTTGCATTGGGCCTTAGTGTTTGATTATGGCTAGTGTTTCAAGTATTTCTCCTGTTGTGAAAAAAAAAAAGTTTTATGACCCTAGAAAGAGACCAAAACCATTTTTTTTTCAGAATAAATAATAGATATTTATTACAATTGTCATCAAAAATTCTGATGTTTTTAATATTTTCGGTAAATTATTATTGGTTCTTTGATTTTAACATAATAAATGGAAATTAGAAAAACCATCTTCACTAGTGCTTTCAACTGTTCAGCCTAACTTTGGTTGCCTGGACGATATTTAGCTATAAGGCCGCCGATTGTACCTTAACATTTATAGTTAATTATCTTAATTTTTTGTGTTACCACAATATATTAAATTTGCGCAATTAATTTTGAAATCTATCCTTAGTGTATTAAGGTTTAAATCTATCGGAGAAATATGAGAGTTTAGTATAATTCGACGCGTTGTTGATTGCACAATCAATAAAGTGTTCATTCATTCATTCATTCATTGATGATATATTGTTATATTTCCAGAACTACGGTCTAGATCCAGCTTCAATCTACCCGTATATAAATTCAGCTTCTCTCAACTTCAATAGAATGGTCAACATAAAGTCTGAATTGGACTTCTACTGCGAAGAAGACTACGTCCATTGGGACTCTGACGTCAGCAGCGACGATGACGTCACAGAAAAGGACAGCAAAGTGTACAGCCTATCCGTTTTAGCGCTCAAAACGTTGTTCTCGCAGAAATGTTTAGGCAGAGTACCAAGAAAGAGGAGGAGGATCAAAACTGAGAAGAGTGTGTTCGATTCGATTATGGGTAACGATTTCGATATGAGTAAAGATATCGATAGTATAATCGATAATCTCGGCGATGATGATAATGTGGATGTATCGAGAGATGATGGTAGAAAGCTTAATGAAGATGACGGGACTGCGAAAGAACAGGTTAGTGAAACTGACAATGCTCCTGTTAATATTTTAGATGATAGAGTTAATGAAGTAGATACTGAGAAATCTGAGGACGTTAGCACTGATATTATTGAAGATAAGTCTACTGAAAATATAGATAATAGTGAAAACAAAGACGATGCAAATGAAAGTGAATCAAAGGAAGTCGATGCAGAGAAACTATCTAATAAAACTGTCGAACTAGATAATAGTACTAGTGAGCTAAGTAAAGATATCGGAACTGATAAGGAATCTATTTTAGACAATAAGGATGTAGAACTAGAAGAAATTGAAAGGAAGGAGACACTTGTAGACGCGAATGTGATATCAAACGCGGATCAAAAGATATCTCAAATAGAAGATAAACTAGAAGACAGTGAGAGAAATGACGAAATCAAACAGTCAACAGACGAATCAGACTGTATACCGAATAATAAGAACATAGAACAAGAAAGCGTCGAGTCAAAAGAAGATATTAATAATGTGGATGATGATAAAAATAAAAATGAAGAAACTAAAGATGATTTGAATGAAAATATCACTGTTAACTCACAATCTGTAGATTTTAATAAAGATGAACATATTAATGATGGTGTCATATTAAATAGTGATAAAGAAGTGCTTAATGAAGTTAGTAATTCACAAACAACAGATAATCTAGATGAAACAGATAATGTTAATGGCAGATTAAGCAATGACAACTTAAAAACAATAGACACTGATAGTAATGACGTGTCTTTTAAAACCGATGTTATATTAGATAAAGAAGAAATCGATACTAACAATACAGATATTCACGAAAATTCCGATGTAACTGATCCAAATGAAACAGATAAATATAATGACAGCAGTGAAGAGAAATCAGATAAATTGAATATGGAAGATTTCAATGAAGTGTGCGATTCAGAAATAGATGATAAGAAACTCATGGAAGCGTTAGATGAACACATTGGAGAGTCCAAGGAAAATAATTATGGAAAATGTGATGTAAATAATGATAGCACAGTTGATGGAGTTGATAAATCTATTGATAATGACATTAAATCGGTGGAAGATGCGAGTGAAAACATAAAAGCTGTTAAGAAAGTGTACGATAGTAATGTCAATGAGCAAAACAAGATTACTTTAGATGACTTACTACCAAAAAAAGTTGGCAACACCCCATCGATGGATTTGGATAATATATCCGATGATGAACTAAATTTTGAATAAAGCTTGTGCACATACGACGAGGATACGTCGCTTGTGATCGCTCGCGAGTCGCCGTAACTTATTAATCCAAGAGTTTACATTTCAAAATAGGGGTGAAATTATATTTTTGTCTGTCCATCAGGTAGATTATAGATAAATATTAAACACGTATTTTTGTCCTTTTGCATAATCAAAAAATTATGTATAATCATAAAATGTCACATTACGTTACACCTTTGTACAATTTCTACATATTTTTGACGTAACAACACCCCTCCACTCCTTAACTTTAAACCCTATTTACTTAAGACATTTCTTCTTTAATTGAACACATTTCTATTGTCTAACTGACGGACTGAATGCAATTATTATTTGTTTAAAATATAATTATAAATGTCATATTTCTCTGTCAATTAAATGAAAACGAAACATAATTCAAAAACATTATTTTTTTTTACATTATCAATGTTGCGCTGGAACGCGCATGACGTCCCCCTTTTGTACATTTTCTACATAGTTGTGACGTACGAGCCCCAATCTGGAACTTTGCCCATTATCTAAGCCATTTCTTGATAAATTGAAGTTGACTGACGGACTAAGTAAAAGGGGCATTGTACCTATTATACAATAATATATTGATGGGATATAATACTTGTGTTGAAATCGTATTAAACTATTTGTCCTGGTGATGGTTAAGAAATGTGAAGTGAAAAATTAACATAGAGTGCATGTACAAAATATATTTGTAAATGTTTCGATTTACTTTTAAAAGAGTTTTAGTTACATGTAGTTGTACTATAGTATATTTTAAGTTAGACGAATAAGGTTAGTTTTTTATAGTTAAATGTCAAGTGCGAATAATTTTTTTTCTATTACATAATGTAAGTAATAAAATTATTATATACTTAAATTGGCTTATTTATTACCTACTCATCTATATTAATATGCAATTTGCCTTCGTGTAATGGTTTAGTTAAGTATACTGAACTACTTTCACTATGGCAGCGAAACTGAATTCACGGTAATGTAATCAGCTGTTTCATACAAAATTGTGCTATCTTCAGTTGCCAACAGTATGGAACAGCTGATTATTTTCTCGTGAATTCAGTGTTGCTCCCATAGTCAAAATTGTTCAGTATCTTTCTTACATGTGGCGTATTACACAATAGGGAAGTATTAAAAAAAAACGAAAGCACTAAAAAAGCACCTCCACTAGATGGCGACTCTAGCAAAAGTTGATTTTTGCAGGAAACGAATGGACCAAAGACAGTCATTTCCGTACCTTTTAACTAACATATTAAAAAACTGAAATTTGTAAAGTTCGAAACTTAGATATCAATACAAATACGAAAAAGTACAAATAGAATATGTGTTGTTTATTGAGTTTTGAAAACTAATTTACTTTTTAAACATGAAATAAAACCGGAAGAGTTGTCATGGAGAAATTAAGAATATATCTTAACAAGATCTAGTTTGATTTCGGGAACTAATGCTTTTTTTTATACTTCCTCATTAAATCTGCTAGCAAATAAAGACGTCATAGTTATTTAACCATGTTGTCTAAGATTCAAGACACTAAGAGAAAAAAGAAATTGAAACGAATGACAGCCAAAGAGCTATGAAATGGTAATTTTTCATTCATTTCATTAATTCTACAATTTCTTCACTTGACTTTGGTAGAAATGCGAGAAATCTGTAGGTAAGCCATTACTAAAAGCAAGAATAAGCCAACCAGCTTCCATAGCGCCTAATACTAAAATCATAGCAAACATTCTGATTGAAATTTCGCAGGCGTCATACTTGACTTTGATCACAAAATACTTTGTAATATCTTTGATCCTTGATGGACTTGTGTCCTAAAATACAGGTTTCTGTTATAACCGGAAAATACGAATCATTTTAACTTATTGAATATTTATTCAATAAAACAAATTTTAAGACACTAATTAGAAAAATATTACACTTTGACAATTTGAAAAAGTAGGGAAAATATACTACAAAAATTTGCTAAAATACATATGGCATTAAATTAGTTACATAAAACGTTACAACTTTCATTATGACAGCCATAAACATAAACGCACAAATTACAAAGATTGCAAATAGACGCTTTTCACTATAATATTAAACTGTGACGTCACTTTTTAATCTGTATTCGTAGTGACAAACACAGCATCGTATCTCCTAAACTAATAATCGCAGACACGCTGTTACTTCTACATTATTTCTCAGATATTAATGGACTATTTATTTATAAAATAAAAATAATTAAAACAACTCATAAACGGTTTAATCGCCTTTGTATTTAGTTTTAAACAGGCCCGTCTTTACCCATGGCACAGGGGGTGCAATGCACTCGGGCGCCGTGCGTTGGGTGGCGCCGCGCCGATGTTGGTCTAATATAAATATGTGTAAAAAGTGGACTCGGGGGCGCCAGAGCACTACTTGCACCCGGGCACCTGTTGTGCTTAAGATGCCTGGTTTTAGAAGTTTAAATGAGTGAAAATATAAGAAATCAATAAAAACAATTGTCAACTAGCTTATTATACAGATTCTGGGTTGTATCACATTTTAATTGTATATATTTGAGGAGCCCGATGACGCTCTGACGATGAGGTGAACAAAAGGTTATTATCTCGAGCTCCTTTGTCCGGAAAGAACTTTAAAAGTCGTTGGTCCCGGCTGCATTGGGCCTGCGAGGTTGGTCATATGACATGAAGAAGTAAAGTGACCATTTTTTTCGTGCCAAATAAACGCCTACGGAATTTCGCATGTATATAGAAAAATATCTAGATCGATATAAAATGCCAAATTTAAAAGCTGAATACAAATTTAAAATGTGACATAATAGTTGTTGTATGTAACTCAAACGCTCTCCGAAGAATTTTAGTGAAATTTTTATTTAGAAAAATAACTATACTCCATTCATTATAACATTAGAAAAAAGAGGGTCAAAGAAGCAGCAGTGCAGAACATTTTATTTTCAAAATAAATTTAAAATATATATATATTAGTTTTGTTGAAACTTTGAACGTTAGGTAGTCTGAAAGAGCTGGGCAATTCTCCATTTTTTTACGATACCTCGGGGTTATATATCGGAGGCCAGCATTTTATATATTCATCTTTTACTCCTAAGCGAACATGGAACTAAAACTGAAACTATCTGTCTGTTGTTTTGATAAATTCTAATTGTAAGTGTAATTAGACTATTGATAAAGACATTGGACAAACTTCCTGATATGTCAAAGGTTGAGGGTAGGTATGGGGGCATAGAGCGTAATTTTTGTAGGCCACTCGGGCCTGCAACGGCATCGTCCATATTTAAGAAACCTTAACAACAAAAATAAAATAATAACAACTTAATCACGGAAAACGGCAAAACAACAAGAAAAAGGCAGAAGAATTCACAATGGATGACAATCCCAGATTACGATTTTAACATTTATGAATAAATAATAGTCTGACAAAGTTAAAAAGCTGTACTGCCGAAAAGTTTGAAGGGGTTAGGCAACGTTTTAAATTTAATAGAATTACAGTGACATGAGAATCGTGCCGAAATTAATCTACCCTGCTTCTTTAGGTTCTTTACGACGGACACTTTTTATTGTAATAGTTATTAAATCATTTAAGTTGGTCATATACTCATAAATTTGTTTAATAGATAGCTGTAGCAAATTAGCTTTCAGTCTTAAAAGTAATATGATTATTGATAATTAGTCACAAAGTATACCATAAAAAGAACCTTATTTAACTTCTGTCTAATGCTATAATGAATGGGGTATAAGTAGGTATATAAAGGTTTGTTTGTTAAAGCAGGACTTTTTTATTCTCTTTGGGGACAGCGGGACGAACATTCCGACAGCGAGACAATCCCGCCCAAAGTAGGACGTATGGTCACATTACATATCCCATTCTCCCTATTCGATTTAATCCAGGAGACTGGAATATCACCTCTTTCATATAGAGCTCAAGGCTTGACTTTTATACCTCTACTAATAATATCTATATAATTTTACCACGACTAAGGACTTATGAAGACCTATTCGAAAGCACCTGACACTGATAGGCTTCTAATTGTCGTAGATACGAATAAACCAGGCACTTAAGACCTTAGGTATCATGATAATACGTACAAATTAGTGTTTAGGACAGGAACGGAAATTATAATTAATTTATTGATTATATTAACCAAAGAGTAAATTAAATTTATCTTTCATATTTTCAAGCGTCTTCTCATTCATACTTTCAATACCATTGTTTTTTATATGACCTATTACACTCTGTATGATCTCTAACACATCATCTCTCTTACCTTCTTGCCATTGGTTCAAACTATTAGTTATATCATTCCATTCTAAAAGATTCTCTTCATTAGGTGGTAATACCTTATCAAATTCGTCAATAATTTCTAACAGTACCACAGTACTTTCTATGTGTTCAGTGCCATGCATCATTACTTTAAGAGGTTGATTCTTCAGTGCAAACAGATTTTTCATTATCATAAACATAGCTCTCGTCATCTTTGTATCCCATTTTTCAGCTTCACCAATCTTTTGACGGAATTTCTCCTGAGTACCCTTACCCATTATTTTACTAAAATCTTGTACCTTCAATATTTCAGTGATTGCGTCAGACCCTTGTTTTATATTTTTGTCGTCGCCTTTCAATAGTATTGTGAATATATCTACCATGAAATTGTTAAAGCCATTAACTGTTCTGCATATACCGAATTTAGCACATATATGTCTATATTCTAAAGCCATTTCTCTGTTAACTTCTTTTTCTAGGACATTGGCTACATTCATTTGATTTCTTAGCACGCCTTCTTTATTGAGTTCTCCAATTAAAAAATTTACTAAACGTCTCATAAGTCTATTTGATGTATCAATAGTATTTAAAACTACCTTTTGGGTACCCAATCTTGTTTTAATTGTTTGATCCAGAGTGTCTTCGACGAAATTGCGGAATTTCTCATCGTAACTGCGAGCTATAAAGTCTACTTTATCCCGGACATTTGGATCCACTTTCTTTTTTATTAAATCGAACACTTTCAGAGATTGCTTGTAAACATGTAATGCGAATTCGTTTATTTGCTTGTCGTCTCTCACTGTGTGAGGTTTGTTGAACATCTGTGCTTTTTCAAACGGATTTTCATTCATTTGTGTTACTGGTACATTGGCACGGGTGGTTATTGCAACTTCTTCCACGCTGACTATGTTAGATCGTGTAGCGTTGTGCGATTTCATCTGGAAGTCGTGCTGTAGTTTTTCTGCTTGTACGTTGTATTTGAAATTCCATTTTGGACCGAAATCTATTATTCCGTCTATGTCGACTCCGATGCTTGTTGCTAATGGAATGACTGTTGGAAATTTTGTGGGATTTAGTGTTTTTTACAAAGGACATACTGCAGTTTTGAAGTTAACAGTTACAAATCTGAATGGAGAACATATTGGGTATCACGGAATGCGTAAGTACGCGACGGTTCATACGCAATGGGTTGAATGCCATCTATACTAAGATTACAAACAGCACCGACTCTATAAAACTTGGCGCTCTTGGCGGTCTAGGCAAGAGACTAGAACTAGAAGCCACATGCAAAACACTGGAACGACGCTCATATGAAATCGGACCGAAAAAAGACTAATCTTATGGGTACACCGATAAAATAATTATTTTATTAATGACAAAAGAAACTTCTTATGCACTGCTGGTCTGAAATAACGTACTTTTGAAAACTCATGTCCAAAGAACAGAAGTAATCTTTTTAGGCACTGCTTTTTTAAAGTTCATATAATTATAGAACCAGCGCCCTAGATAGTTGCCAAGTTTAACTATATGACATATATATGGTAGAATATAAATTACGCGGGCGCAGGAAAACGGAAAGATAGTTTTTTTTTTAAGTTTTTCTATTTTAAATAGGTTTTATATATAAAATTTAACTCACACAGCGCTAAGAGTGATTTCAATATGTACAACATATTGTGTTATCGCGGTTAAATAAAAATTGTATGAGCCAATAAAACACTATATTGAATATAATATTTTGTTGGAAAAAACTTCGGTTCGAAAAAGAAATAACTTATATATTTTAGTGAGTTACACACAATATACCAGCATTGGCGTGACATACAAATATCACACGAAGTACTCGCACTTCTATTTGTAATTCAATTATCAGACACTTCATAAAAAACTGGCCAACATTTTGTGATTATTCTAGACAACATCGACAATAATTGTCCTACTTCAGTCAATTCTTCATATGAATAAATTAATGTACGTTAAACCTTAAAGAATTATACAGGGTTACTGTCCTATTTTGAGGTTTTTAAGGACATATAAGTAAATAAAATACGGAGTACACAACACAACCTTTAATGGTTGGTGACAGACTGACTTCTTGTTGTCATTGTTTGTTTACCCTCAATACAAAGTAAATAACATCCCTCCACCAATAGTTAAAAATTCATAATTCATAACAATTTGTAATAAGGATTCTTTGCACGTGTTGATCGTTTATTTCGTTTAGAGTATGACTCCGTTTCTGTGACCTCTTTTTCAATACGTGGTTGCGGTGCTAGATCAACATCACCGGCACGTCGCCAATTATGTCCTATTTTGAGGTTTTTAAGGACATAAAATACGGAAAGTAAATAAAATACGGAGTACACAATAGGTTAATGGTTGGTGACAGACTGACTGACTACCAGTATTATGTATTATCTATGGACTGACTTCTTGTTGTCATTGTTTGTTTACCCTCAATACAAAGTATTTATCAGTTATATATAAAACACCTTCGCCCTAGTAGTACTGGACAGTCCTCACGCATTTGTTGTCTTTGTAGTTTCTTTATTTAGTACTGTTTTATTATTTACCTTTCGTAATTTGAAATTTTGAATAATCAAATATTCTCTTTATGAAATTCATCTGGCGTGAACATGATAATGTAATAATATAAATTTAAATATATAAATCTAATAATAATAAAGATATTATAATTTAAATAAAAAATGTTAATCTAAAAGTGTATCTTCGTGAAATATCTATCAAGTTTTATCTATGACAGAAAACCCAGAAAGAGGTTTTTTCATCTAGTGAGGTGCTTTTTAGTGCTTTCTTTTTTTTTCTTAAAATTCTTTCTCATTGTGAAGCTACTTTAAAAATTAATGCATTAAAATAAAAACTTTTTAAAGTTTGACTCGTAAATATAGAAATAAATCTAAATATAAATGTTAATGTACATGTGCAATTTTACCATTTGACGAAAAAAATATTTTTTTCGTATTAGATGAAACGAAACGTAGCAAACCGTCTTGTTGGGTTCGAATCGCATTGAGGTAGTGTAGGAAACGCCATTTTATGGGAAACCTAGTAGTTTTTATTCTTACTTTATTTAAAGATTTCGTTTCCTGGCCTACGATTCTATAAAAATACAAACCCGAATTTAAATTCACTGAGTGTCTGAAATGAGTAGCTCGGTGGCGTAGTGGATTAGCGCCGCGGCCCGTGATCGTAGTCGTTAAGCAACTTTCGCAAGGGTCGGTCACGGGATGGGTGACCAAAAAATTATTATCTCGAGCTACTCCGTGCTTCGGAAGGCACGTTAAGTCGTTGGACCCGGCTGCATTTGCAGTTGTTAATACCCTCCAATCCGCATTGGGCCAGCGTGGAGGGTCATGGCCCATCCTCCTTAACCATCCATAAGGAAGGCCTGAGCCCCTGCAGTGGGGACGTAAAAGGGCTGATGATGAGTGTCTGAAATCATCATCATCCGCTCAATCTCATCACACACACACACACACACACACACACACAGACAAACATAAGTATGCCAGTGTTTACGTGTCATACTATGCATATACATATTCAAACTGGCATGCGCACACACTCATTTGCATGTTCTAATTTTATTTTATTTGTTTGTATTTGTTATTTTTTTTTTCACAAGGCGAGTACTATGTAATAAGTGAAGACAATTGTAATAAACGAAATATCTAATGTATTATGGAAGAGCGGACTATTTCTGGTACAAATATTTATTTTATCTAAAAGAAATAGTCCATTACAAATGTTTACATCATTCTGGTCTTGAAATAAAACATTTTTATTTTATTTTATTTTTTTTATCTTGAATTAGTAATAACCTTTCGTGGTTAAGTGAAGTGAATTTCGAATTAACATTGGAATAGAATAAAGAGACACGTATAATCTATAAATTTTATTTTGTATATTTATACAAAAAAATTAATCAATAAAATTTCTACATTAAATGACGTGAATTTTAATTCGGATATTTACAGAATCGTCCTGCTGATATGAAATAAGCTACATTTTTAGATATTAGATTAAAACTTAAATTTTTAGGTCAATATAGAGCATGATTTTTTTTTTATGAAGATAGATAGATAATTATTTTTTTCTAAATGCAACATACAACCACATTATACAGAGAATAAAAATAAATAAAGACACTATAAAAAAAATAATAACTACGAATAAGTCATGTACCTGTGTGTAGCAGAGAGGAAGGGTCTAGGCTCAGTGCATCGAAATCACCGAAATGTCGATGAAGCACTGACTTTCAGCCATCACCCCAGCTGAGACGAGCAGACTTATTTAAGGCTAATAGAATTAATATCGTGATAATATGATGTCGAATTTGAATGAACATTTTTGATGGTTTAAAATTTAATGTTATGTCAGATTGTAATTAATAATGTCATAAGGTAGTAAATTACTATTATTTAATTAAAGTAAAATTATAATTTTTTTGATTCCAGTAAGTGTGCTTTCAATTTTAATTTAAATTTCGATACAGATGCAATAGGAAATCTTATAAAGATTATATTACTTTTCATTGCATCAATATCTCTTGCCATGGTGTACCACGAATGGGCGTTAACCTCACACCATTAAGCTAAGGTCAACATTTTTGCGACGGTGAAAACAAAAAGGTCTAAGTGATCATTCCACTGCCAGCGATTAGAGATGAACTGTTAAAGCTATAAAGAAATATTAGCACAGGCGCAGTGTATTTTTATGAATGCTAACAAATAATTTCAAATATTTTTAAAGATACACACTGATGCACGTCAAGGTATCACAATGGGGTATTTTACTAATTATGAAAAATTGCACTTCCATAGATGGCGACTCTGCCAAAAGTTGATTTTTACAGGAAACGGATGGACCAAAAATAGTCATATCCGTTCCTTAAAATTAACAAATTTGCAGAGTTTTAAACTTAGATTTCAATAACAAAAATCCGAAAAATATGAGTTGTTTATTGAGTTTTGAATATTAATTTACTTTTATACATGAAAGAAAACCGGAAAGGTTTTCATGGAGAAATCATGTACCGTAACGACATATAATTCGATTTCGGCAACAATTCTTAATAATTCCATATTGATTATGTTTTAGACAATATTTTTTATATAGATCAAAGGTGTGAACCGAAGATAAAAATGCTGGGATAACTACACTAGAAATATTCAACCTAGACCTCCGAAGCGTATAGTAAGGGAAGCCTTGTCCCAAATTTTGTCACTAATATCAAGATTCAGTATAATGAAAACAATTTCTTTTATTGCATTGTCCATTAAAAGTGTAAGGTTTGTGTTTTTACATAGAAACATAGGCGAATAACAAATAGACAATAACGCATAATTGTTAAAGTCACTTGATTATTATTTTTTTATTAAACAATCAGTAACTGACTTAAATTTTATTACTATTTAAGGAAACAGCCAGTTATTCTGTATATCTCTGGTACTTACTCCATTATTCGATTAAAGCAGTTACAGGATAGTTTTTAAATTTTAATATCGCGAGGACTCTTTTATATCTTTTCGCTAGCAGAGTGATAAGAGCTTTATGTTGTTTATACCATTAGGCATCATTACCTTGTCAACATTAGTGTTATATTTGAAATTACAATTTCTAGTTAATTTAAACGCATAATCTCTATCCATGCTTTCTCCAGTGAATTTTGAAATGGTTTATTTTATGTTTATGGCAAGATTGCGTCACATTAATAGCTTTTATTCTTTTTATTTGTATAGGTAATTTAAACGTGGAAAGTTCCTTAGGTTTACTAAGATGTCTATGGTTATATCTATATTATTGTTTATTAAGCATATGTGTCTATACTTATATTATAAAGAGGTGAACTTTGTTTGTTTGTAGGGTGAATTTTCGCAAAAACTGGTGGCTCGAAATACGCGGGTGACATCTTAGATAGATGTATGTACAGACAGCGGGAAGCGACTTTGTTTTATTCGTATTCTAAAACAATGTGGCTTCCCGCTGTCTGTACGCTTAGATCATTTTAAATACCCAACGGAATTTAATGCGTTTTTCAATAACCTCTTGTCTGTCGAAATCGAGAGCACGGCTGCGCGACAGACGAGAAGATAACAGATGGTGTGAATTCTAAGGATGGTTTATATACAGGGTTATGGGTAATTAGACCGGACCCTTTTTACGGGGTTATTTTTACCCCACATTGTATATCCGAAAGTTATATAAAAACTTTTTTTTTATTATTTAAAGCTCTGTAGTTTCTGTTTGGGTCAAGATTATTTGGATATAATTATTATTTATTACGAACTGGATGGAATGTCATCTCTCCAAAACTGTCAACAAAATTACATTCTGACAATAATTTTTTTTCGACTTTTTAAAAGAAAAAATAAATAAATACAATTTATCACATCACCATCACCAGCCCTTTTTACGTCCCCACTGCAGGGGCTCAGGCCTTCCTTATGGATGGTTAAGGAGGATGGGCCATGACCCTCAACGCTGGCCCAATGCGGATTGGAGGGTATTAACGACTGCAAATGCAGCCGGGACCAACGGCTTAACGTGCCTTCCGAAGCACGGAGTAGCTCGAGATAATAATTTTTTGGTCACCCATCCCGTGACCGACCCTTGCGAAAGTTGCTTAACGACTACGATCGCGGTCCGCGGC